GTGCTTTCACCCAGCCTCTAGAGCTTGGCACTTTGAACTTGGACTTAAAGCCTCCAAACTGTAAGAGAATAAACTCCTGTTTGTTAAGGCCATCCAATTTGTGGTATATTCTTGTCAGAGCAGCACTAGGTAACAGAATAGGCAGGGAAGAAACATCTACTAAGAAGGGCAGTGTGGTCAAATGGAAAAACCCCTAAATTGAGAGGCAGGAGATCTGTATTCCCTCCTAGTTCTGCTACTCTCTGCTTTGTGGCTGTAGGTAAATGCCTTCTCCTTCCTGGAGAACGCTCTTTGAACTAATCAATTGTTTGTGAAAGAATAGCAAATTCTAGAAAAGGGCAGCTAAAGAGCAGTAATGTTTCCATTTTCAGTGATTCTGGAGTCCCCAAGCTCCCTTCTGAGTGTGATCTAATTGTTCTCGTGTAGAATTTCCTGCTGGAAGGAGGAACTGACCAGCAGAGACAAGTATCTGACCTACTTGGCAATTTCGTTTACTCCAGTAAATAACATTGGCAACTCCAGTTTATGCATCCATCTGATCACCCCATGGTGACACTGGACCTGCTGAGGACAAAGACCACAGACAGTGGTGATCAAAATGAGATGTGGCTGCTCTGTGGGGCACTCTTCCAGAAAACGGTTAACTGCCCTTCCTAGTGGATGTCTATTATTTATGGGTATAACTGTAAAAACAATCTTCTCTCAGGTCAAAAATAGAAGGACGAGGAGAAACCAAGTAGTTCCTCAGAAATAGGGATGGTTCAGAAGAACTTGAAAATCAAGCAAAACTCAAACTCACTGCCTTTGAATAGATTCTGACTCATAGTGACCCCTATTGGGTTTCCAAAGCTGTAAATCTTTATGGAAGTAGATTGCCTCATCTTTTTTCTGCTGAGCAGCTGGTGGGTTATGAACTGCTGATCTTCCAGTTAGCAGCCACACGCCTTATCCACTATGCCACAACAGTGACTTACTATACCACAAGAGCTCCTTAACTTGAAAATAGTGGGAGCAAAGAGAGGCATAGTGAGTTTGTTTATGGTGATGGAAAACTTGACATATGAGTAATGACTGCACATGATTAATATATTTCATATCACTAAATTGTACACCTGAAAAATGTGAGATTGGTAAAAGGTGTTTATATTTAAAAGAATAAAAATAAAGAGAGAGAGAGAGGCAAAAGAGGCCAGGTCTCTGTCTCTGATGGGATAGGTCAGGCCCCCTACAACAGAATCTGGAAAACCTTGCCTGATTTTCACACTGCTCCTCAACTGCTTTCCCTCCCTCCCAGTATGCCCACCATTTCAATGTGCAGCGCTTTGATCTGTATGTACTTAACAAGAAAACAGATAACAAATGTAATGGAGTTATAAAAACAAGTTAGAACAGAGTTAAACAGATTTCTCATCCAGTGCTCTTGACCCAAAACATTCAGTAAAGACAATCCCAACCAAAAGATAAATTGTTATAACAGCACAGTTCTTTGTTTAATAAAATTTTATTATGTTTTTGGTGAAAGTTTACACAGCAAATTCAGTTTCCATTTAGCAATTTCTATGCAATTTGTTCAGTGACTCTGGTGACATTTTACACGTGTCAACTTTTCATTATTTTCGTTCTGATTATTCCTTTCCCATTAACCTAGATTCCCCTCCTTTTTGTCATCTCCTATTTGCTTTAGAATAAGTGTTGACCATTTGGTTTCACATAGGTGATTTTAAAAAATAATACAGTACTCATGATAGGTGATATTGCTTGTTTAATGAGCCAATCCGTTATTTAGCTAAAAGATGACCTCATGACATAGTTTTGGTTCAAGGCTTAAAGAGTATCACAGGGTGATAGTTTTGGGGAATTCTCTAGTCTCACCTGGTCCAGTAAGTCTGGACTTTTTAAGAATTGGAGTTCTGCACCACATTTTGCTCCCATTCTATCAGGATCCATCTATGGTGTTCCTAATTAGAACTGTCAGTAGTGATAGGCACTAACTAGTTCTTCCGGTCGTTCTTTATTTTCAATGTTTATACCATCAAGTATTTTATAGATTCTGATTACTGAGCATCCATAATCAACAAAAATGAATAAATAAAGATATTAAAAAATATAAAATTTTTCAGAAAGAATATTATTTTGAACCATGAGTAAAATGAAGGTTGGAAAATTTTACTTACTTTCAAAAATCAACTGTAGAAGTTCCAGTAAGATAGTGGAATAGGCAGAAAAACTGCAAGGCCCTCTTCAACAAAGAAAAGGGGAAGCAATTAACAGAGATACAGAAGATAGTCCTGGACCCCTGAACCTTGAAGGGAAAGATACAGAAGTGGACTAAACTCCATCTAGCAGAAGAATTTTCATGAAAACACTGTGTTGGATTGGGTTCTCTAGAGAAACACAAAAACCAGC